TTTGTATGAATGGGTCAAAAATGACTCAACAGGGTATAAAGGGTTAAGGAAACTTCTATTATCGTTTATAAATATGCTTAGCTAAATTGTGTTTCTGAGTTATGTATCGAGATGAGTCAGAAAAATTCAAAAAAGTTCTTACACTTCACTTAGAAACAACACATGATATAAGCTGTGGATGTGAGTGTGTGTCATTGATACTAAATGACTATCCACACATACTAACACCTACATCCTACTCTTCATAATAAGCAAAACTGAAATAGCTGTTTATGAAAACTTACTGGTCATACTAATATTCCTGTTATGTCATATTCCACCGATTTCTGTCCTTTTGCAAAAAAAAGTAAGTCAAGTCATCAGAAAGAGGAGAGTAAACTTCCTGGATGTGGGTGCGAGTGTGATTGAAAAGAAGGCTAACACACACACTCATCACTTTATCTATATTTTATAACTGAAAAAAAAATTATCTTGCGCTTTACAGACGTTTGTGTGTCGAACGTTTTTTGAAATTACACATAATCTGCAAAAGAGGAAGAAGTTTGATTTAAAGATGATATCATACAGTTAACATATGGGTGGGCGTGGGTGAAGACGTAGAGGAATATTCATACCTACAGTCGCACACCCACACCCCGCATCCTCATGCTTTATTTAGTGACATACTCTTTCAAAGAAAAAGAAAAATTAAATATATAGATTGAACATTGACAGAGAATTCTAGAGTATTCTATCGAAAAACTACGGACATAGAGAATCTTAAAATTTAAAACTCTAAATACGAATTTAATAGAATATTCCAAACAATCTGAGTCTTTGTTAAGATCATGTTGAATTTACATCTGACGACTAGGTATTGTTTAATCTTCTCTTTTTCCTTTCTCTTATACGATTAGCTGAAAATTCAAGTGTTAAATAATAAATTTCAAATGAGAAAAAAAAAGACAAATAGAATCAATGACTTATACTCATTTTCTACGTGTTACATACCGTGCGTTCAGTTATATAGCTTTCAATACTATCGTAAACAGTCGTTTAAGGATGTATACGTTTTGATTTAGGTTGATAAAGAATATTACAAAAAAAATTTTCCTTACCATCTCATAATCATAAAAAAATTGAACAAAATACTTTAAGATCATTGAGTTTTCTTGCGCTCGGCAAGTTCCTACGGTTCGATAACCAAAAACTTCGACACGACAACTTCAATGTGAGAAAAAAATAATCTGATTTTTGATTTATTTATTTTTATATAATCGAAAAGAAAAATATCTATTTGTATTTATTTTATCTTTAGTATCATCTGATGATGTAGTCAATCCAACAAATGCAACAACACGTTATGTTGATAATTCTGAGTCAGATATTGTTTATCAGATCTCAATGTCAAAAAGTACTAAAAAAGGAGATGATGTTGTCACAATTGGTGTACATGAACTTGTACTTAATGAAAAGTGTCCTGTATTTGATGATGATAATTGTGAAAAAGTATTTGTTAGTGTAGAATTTCTTGATTATCCAGCAGAATATCTTGAAACACCATATGCATTAGTAAAAGGAGAACCAAATACGAAATATAGTTTTGATTTTCAGACTGGTAAAAAAATAATTTTGATTCTGATTTATTGTTCTTACCAATCGTTCTCTTTTCTTTTTTTTCTGAAAGAATGTTCGGTACGTGATCAACCAAAGAAACAACAACTTGCTGAGCTTGTTGAACCTAGATCTAGTGGAGAGTAAGCCATTGAATATATATATCAAATAATACTCAAAGTAATAATGTATTAATATATTTAGAATAAAATTTGTTGTCGTAGCTGAACCACCTGAAGATCAACCATCACTTGATTGTGTTGATATTGGTGTTGCAACTGTAAATGCTAAACAACTTTTACATAATCAAACTGATCATATTAATAAAAGCATTGATGGTAAAATAAGTTTATTTTTATTCTATTTTGTTTCTTATTTTCCTTTTTTTTTTAAGTATATGGAATGGATGATCAAACAAAAGTTGTTGGACAAATGAATGTAACTGTATCAATTGTTCAAGCATTAAATAAAGTAACACGACAAGGACAAAATGTTCGTCGAATACAAAGTTAAAATAATTAATAAAGGTTTATCATCCATGGGACGTCAAATAGGGGCTACATCATAATATCATGACTTATAGTTGGACTATTTCTATTCTTTTCTTGTTTCAGTGCTTTGTGTGTTGTTTAGACAAGTTTCTATATTTTGTTTCTCATTGATTTTCATCGTATTTCTGTCTTAATATAAAAAGAAAACGTGTGTGTCTTCAGGGTATCCTTCCATTTGGTCGACAGATCCTTAATTGGTCCCTTTTTGTCGACAGAATTTTTTTCCTATTTCGTCGACAGAAATTTTCTTCTCGTTTCGACGACAAAAATTTTTGTCCTGTTTGGTCGACAGAAATTTTCTTCCTGTTTAGTCGACAACTTTTCCTCTCTTTCATATACCACATTTTAATAATTAATAATTTGGTCGACTAGTTAAGGGTAATCTGGTCACTTGCATAAAGAGTATTCACTTATTTTAAAAGGTGGAAGATTATTGTAAATATAGATCACTATTAGTGTTTTATAGGTGATGATATTATCGATGTAATCGAATAACGATACATCAATAAGACTAGTATGATTAACTTTTATTAGAGAAGATAATATCGAACACATAAAGTGGATGAATCATAATGAAAGAAAACAAACCACCACAATAACTTGGATATTCTTTGTTTCTATCAGTACTTATATTCCACATATTTGAATTAAAATGTATACAATAATTGAAACCCAAAAAGGTAAAAAAAGTATATTGACATGGAAACGGTCGAAAATTGTTGTAGAAAATTTTGACTAGTGAAATTTATAGTGTCACTTTTGCATTAAACGCTTATAAAAGATAAGGCATCCAAGTATTCTATGGCAGTTATAATTTCTACATAATATCATTAACTAAAATTGTCATCGGATATTGAATTCCAATCAGAATAAGTTGTGATTTCGATTTAGTTAAATCTAGTGAAGATGAAGCTTATATCAGATATATACCAGTGGCGTAGCCAGGGAGTGGCCAGGAGGAGCTGAGCCCCTCCACCGAACCTTTCAGCTCCCCCCTAGAAAAACTTTTTATACATGTATTTCGTTTGTTAGGAGGGGCTCAAAGGTCCATATAAGGAGTTGAGTCCCCTCTAGCCCAAAATCCTGGCTACGCCACTGATATATACCCATCACCATTTATGAACGGTTAAAAATCTAGAGTACTAAAATTATAAGAAAAAAAAGCCAATGAATTGTAAGTATGTTTAAAGTCATCATTTATCGAAGAAATCACTTTATTGGATATTTTTCCATTTCAAGAAATTGTATGTATTATCCCTAGAACTTTCTCAATA